TGGGGGGTGGGGGGGGGGGGGGGGGGGTGGGGGGGGGGGGAGGGGGGTTTAGGGGAAGCAAATACCCTAGCTCTTCTTTGGAATCATGCCATGGGATCAAGCATCCACCCAACAGGGCCTTGGTTTAACATGTCATCTGAAAGTGTACTTTATTACTAATTCCTTCTCCACGAATGTCTGCTTCTCATGGGAAGGAACAGTGATGCCATATTACACTGTAAATGGTGTGGAAAGAGCTACACGTATGGTGGAAAGGGATGACGACATGATTTGGGATTGGATTTGGTACATAATATGTCAAACCTCCTTGCAATAGTAACAAACAACAGCACATAGGATGTTTAATTGCATTTCCGAGATCAGACGAGTGTTGTGGAGATTGTTGCACAGAGGGTATGCACTTGCCCTAATCACAATGCACCTTAAGCATTTAGTTTGAGCACAACAAGAAATACTCATGCACACCAGTGCACAAAGAAACAGAAGACACAGATAATTCACAGCAATTTGGTTGGCACTTCTTAAAGACAAAAGAGATTTGGGATGTTAGAAGCTTCATTAGGGGCATTGTTGGCTCTTTCACAGTTGATGGTTAAAGTATCAATCCTGACCACAAAAGGACCACAATTTTTTTATTCATTTGTGAAATGTGGGCATCACTGGTCAGACCAACATTTATTGCCCAGAGGGCAGTTAAGAGTCAACCACATTGCTGTGGGTCTGGAGTCACATGTAGACCAGACCAGGTAAGGATGGCAGTTTCCTTCCCTAAAGGACATCAGTGAACCAGATGGGATTTCCCATTAATCAGCTACAGTTTCATGGTCATCATTAGATTCTTTATTTTAGATTTTTATTGAATTCACGTTTTACCATCTGCCATGGCTCGATTCAAACACAGGTCCCAGACATGACTGGGATTAATGGTCTCCCCCAGTGATCCCACCATCTCAACTCCAGGTGGGATGAGAAAGAGTCACCAACCCCACCCACGTGACTGATGAGCCATGGAAAATGAGGGCAGGAGCAGGAGTTGACCATTCGGCCCTTCGAGCCTGCTCCACCATTCAATATGATGCTGGCTGATCATCCAACTCACTATCCCATTCACGCTTTCTCGCTATACCCTTTGATCCCTTTAGCCCTAAGAACTGTATCCAATACCTTCTTGAAAACATTCCATGTTTTGGTCTCAATGACTTTCTGTGGCATAGGAAATTTATTTTTGTTAGTTTATTAGTTGAAGTTCCAAGTTCATTATTGAACTTGAAATTGGCCATATTCTAAGGCGGGATTTGATCCCGAGTCCTCAGAACATTAACCTGGGATTCTGCATTACTAGTCTGTTGACATTGCCATGAAACCAACAATTCCCCAATTACCACAGTGACTAGCAATGCTGGGTACAGTCCAAACCCAGATAGTGAATGTTTAGCTGCTAGCTATCTCTCCACATTGCATATATCAGATTCCACAAGCTCTATACTGCAAATCATTCTGCAGTAACACAGTGCATTGTGCTGTGGGTTGAAACTCATAAAAACAATGCATTTTATTAAAAAATAAATTTGCTGTCAATCCCAGCATCAATACTTATGCCAAAATGTGAGCAATATTCATTTTTCTGAACTTACTTTTAGTTTCCGATCATGATCTCCACTGCAGAGGGAGTTTACAGAGACTTTAAATGTTTTCCACATAGGATTTAGATTGTTCATGATGACCTGTGGACACAGAAAAGATAAAGATGAAATATGGAATAGTCACAGATAATCTGCTGAATTTTCAGAATTCAGTATAACTACAATTAATCTTGGATTAACAAAAGAAATAGAAAGAAATCCTATTGCTTTGGTGTCCTTTTCAACCTCAGGACACCACAACAGAAGAATTAATACTTCCCCCACCCACAATTTTGTTTAATTCAAAAAAGCTGCAGAGTCTGAACCAGAGGCAACATGATAAAAGGTGTTTTTATATGACTGAAAGCGGGGACACACACTGTTGAAGCATTTCCCCTTGCACTCATCAAGATCTTTACAAGAATACCAAATTTCAGAGGGAACAACAATTTACACCATTTGCGAACAATGAGTTGAGAATCTATCCTTTTCCTGCCCCATAAATTGCCTCTTTTGAGGCCAGCAGTAATATGAAAAGTCAAGTTCCACATTTGGAAGGCCATTCATTCATGTTTTAAACCAGTAGGATAGTTATCGGCATCTTAAACAACTGTTACACCACTTGTTGAAAATGTTAACCTTTAGCCTGTGTAGAAAATGCTGTTTTTGTTTTTTCTGCAGTCAACTATTGATAATGTATCGGTAACTGAACACTTTGCATGGCCTGCTTTCTGGCCGTCTGTCCCGTCAAGATCTCAATTTGATTATTGTTTTAAAATCATTACATTTTCCTTCTATAGTGATCAGAGGTTGCTGGCTGAATCAGTGAAATCCAAGCATTTCCTCCAATTGAGTTCAACTGGCTCTAGTATAACAGGAGGAGAGGCAATGGCCTGGTGGTATTATCGCTCGACTGTTAATCCAGAAAAACCGAAAGAACTGCAGATGCTGTAAATCAGGAACAAAAACAGAAGTTGCTGGAAAAGCTCAGCAGGTCTGGCACCTTCTGTGAAGGAAATAACAGAGATAACGTTTCGGGTCCGGTGACCCTTCCTCAGAACGCCAGACCCGAAACGTTAACTCTGATTTTTCCTTCACAGATGCTGCCAGACCTGCTGAGCTTTTCCAGCAACTTTATTATTCCAGGAACTCAGCTAATGTTCTGGGAAGATGGAATTTGAACTCAAAAAAATAAATCTGGAATTAGGAATCCAATGACAAGCATGAATCCATTGTTGATTGTCAGGAAATACCCATCTGGTTCACTAATGTCCTTCAGGGAAGGAAATCTGCCATCCTTACCTAATCTGGACTACATGTGACTCCAGACCCACAGCAATGCAGGTGACTGTTATCTGCCCCCTGGGCAATTAGGGATGGGCAATAAATGCCGGCATGGCCAGAGTCGCTCATATCCCGTGAGTGAATAAAAAGAAGAGTTAAGAGAGCCATTTCTCAGGGTATTTCAAACTCCACCATCATACTGGGAATCCTTCTTTACTGTTTCATGACACATTGGCATTGCTGGCACAGTCAGGTTTCCCTTGAGCTAAATGGTGCACCAGGTCATTTAAGAATCCAAATGATACTTTTGAAGGGATTATTTGTGTAATTCGTAGAAATATCATAGATTCATAGAATTCCCACAGTGTGGAAGCAGGCCATTCGGCTCATCAGGTCCACACTGACCCTCCATAGAGCATCCTACCCAGAGCCAGCCCACCTCCCTAACCTTATCCCTGTAACCGTGTATTTTCCATGGCTAACCCACCTACTCTGTGCGTCCCTGGACACTATGAGCAATTCTTAGCACACACAAAATTGTTCAGCAAATGCTGCCCAACCATGGAATTGCATTTAAAGTCTGAAGCCATGACTCTGAAGTCACATGGCAGATTGGGTAAGGATCCCTGAAAGACAGATGAACCAAAGACCTTGTTACAACAATTGCTGATCACTGTTAAGGTTACCAGCGCTGGGATTACCTTTCAATTCCAGACGCTTATTAATGGAATTTAAATTACACTTGCCGTGGGATTTGAACCCAGGCTCTCAAAACATGATGCCAGTAACATTACCAGTATGCCCCCATCTCTCCCAAACAGCAGTTAATCTAAGTTATTTTTGGATGAAAACATTTAATGCCTCACCCCTTCCCAGTTGCTCTCAAGAACCTTTCAAAGCCCAAGTCTGACTACACCTGATTAACATGGGAGCAAACACAAGCAAGCTTTAATACCAAGGGATGAGTCACAGAGAATCATTTATCAGGTCTTGTGCATGGGCTTTGAATGGCAAGAATACCAAGGAACAGCCCATTTCTCAATTCTGTTCCCTATGAACTGTGTGGTGTTTGCACTTAATTGAACAATCAATGTAGAAATGAAAGTACCTCCGTTCTGTGTACAAGTTGTTGTGTTCCATCATCATTCATCCTGAAAATTTCGAGAAACGGGTCTGATTTGCTGAAAAAGTCCTGAAAAACAGACAATGTTTTACTCACATAAAATGAACACAATTTAGACATATCAAATTAGTCTCACTTTAACCATGTACAGATATTGGGATGGTGAATGGCCAATACAGCTTATGCCTGTAATGCCTCTCTGATCCCATTAAATCTAAACACTATTCTGTGTGTAGTTTGCTGCACCATACATGAAGACAGCCAGCTTTCATAGTCTGATTCACTAAATAGCAGAAACCAGGAGGAAGCCTGCTTTGGAATACCTGACCTTTGGCCCAGGAGGCCCGACTTTCTCAGATACCATAGCTCAGAATAAAGGGGTCAGAAATTTGTTTCATTACCCTGGTGGTTATGAGGTTTCCTAAATCATAGAATCCCTACAGTGCGGAAGGAGACCATTCAGCCCATCAAGTCCAAACCGACCCACCAAAGAGCATCCCACCCCGACCCACACCCTACTCTCTCCCTGTAACCCTGCATTTCCTATGGCTAACCCACTAACCTGCATGACTTTGGCCTGTGGGAGGAAACTGGAGCACTTGGTCCCCTCCCACGCAGACATGGGGAGAATGTGCAAACTCCACACAGACAGTTACCTGAGACTGGAATCGAACACGGGTCCCTGGTGCTGTGAGGCAGCAGTGCTAACCACTGAGCCACCGTGCTGTCCCCAGATGACAGTAGATTGGTGGGGGAGCGGTGAGGGAGGTGAAGGAGGAATTGGGAGGTGTGTTGTTTAGTCTACAACCCGATAATTACAAAAACCATGTTTGACTTTCCTTCTTTAGATTGGCCCAATATTTCAAAGCCACGTTCAGTAGGGAGGCATAGAGCAGCCAACATCTGTGCTGGAATACTGCACTCCCTAATTCTTGCTTACACCAGGCTCTGCTATCGGGCGGATCTGTGCCTCAGAGATGATGGTGCCAGAGGCGGTGTCCCCAAATCTATAATAATGGCTCATGGCAACTGCAAAAAAACAGGAATTGCCCTGAAATCTTTTTGACTTGGCACTCATCAGGACAGAATCGCAAGAATGCCACATTTTCAGGGACAAACAATTTATGCTGCATGTAAAAAAGGTGTGAAAATCTCCACTCAGTATAAATTGCAGCTGCATTCCAAATATGGATTCTCGCACCTGTCCTTATGCATGCAAGAAAGAAAACATCAACAGCTCCTCTTTTTCCAGCAATTCTCCAAGGTTCTGTACTTCCAAGTGACCATTCATTATGGATCCTACCAATCTGCAGACACACATGCACACACCACAGCTATACTGCTCCTGGCTAGCATGAGATGTGAGCTTTGAAATGTAGATGGAGGCAAGTGGGAATGGGTTGAGGTGGAGGGAGATTAGAAAACATTTTCCCTACATTATTCTGACTTTAGAAGATTTCTTTATTCTAAAAATGGAATAGGGTTTGTCATGTTTTACTTTACTGTTACCTATTTTGAAAAGACTACTGTAAAGAAAGGCCCAAGCAGCAGACTTTGTAGATAGGGCTGTGAGGACATTAGAGAATGTGTGTATTCCATTGGCTCCCTGACACAAACCTAGCTCCTTACATTTTTCCCTGGAGACAAAGTGACGGTGTTCAATGGAAACCCATCAGGAGGTCAAACTGAAGATGAACACGTGATAAATATCTTGTCAATCACATTTCTTCATGTCATTGTTAATTTGTGAAAAACATGATAAACATTAATTGAGGTCACACAAATATAAAAGAGAGCTCTTGTGGCACAGTGGTAGTGTCTCTACCTCTGAACCAGGTCACCTAGATTCAAGTCATACCTGCTGTGGAAGTGTGTAATAACATCTCTGAACAGGCTGATTAGAAAATATTATCGTATAAATAGACAACTGTTGGGACCTGGGTTTGAGGCATAGAAGTTTTTGGATGAGAGCTGTAGGGCTGAGTAAATTAAGAAACTCTCTACGAAGTAGAACTTTGTGACTTGGCTTCTATCATGTCTAGTATGATCGCATTGGACATCCCACCTCATGCAACTTCTGGCTTCCCCACCCAGAATTCCAGGTGGACCAGGATCAAAGCTCCAGTGGCAAAATTCACTGCCATCCCTCCAAAAGAGCCTGCTCCGAACAGTGAATGGTCATTGATCTAAAGTGTTAAATCTATCTTTCTCTCTTTGTATGTGCTGCCAAGTCTGGCCAGCATTTCCTGCATTTTCTGTCTTTCTAGTAGAATTGAATCATTCACATCACTGTGTATTTGTGACAGACACATCACAAACCCCTCTGTGGCATTTCTATTCAAAATGTTGTGCTTACAACTCTACATTAAGGCCTGAAATGACTGCAATCACATCTGTGCTCCTAGCCATTGTGAGAGCTCTATTCATTTTTGTTCAGCCTGTGGTCATGAGCAATTCTAAGCAATTGGATTAGCAAGGAAAAAAAACCTCGAGCCAATGAATGTTATATCATTAAATTACATTCTGACTAAACAAAAGAGCAGATGATGTGAAGAATGTTAACAATTGTTACGAGGGGCTCCATGATGTTGCCAGGCTGTTTGAGAATGTCCTCAGATGTTTTCATCAGCCTTCTCTTCAAATCCTGGCTGATTCTGCCCACACTGGCCATTTGAACACAACGGTGAGCATTTTGACTGGAAAAGGTAACTGGGGGCGAATTAACCTTCTTCATCCCACAGTATCCAAACTCATTCAATTTGACAATCAGTAGACACGGGGGTGCTTTTCAATCACATCTCATTCTTGCGGCACAGTGGTGTTGTCCATATCTCTGAACCAGGAGGCCCAGGTTCAACTCCCACCTGCTCCAAAGGTGTGTAATAGCATCTCTGAACAGGCTGATTATAAAATATCTTCCAGGATCGAGTCTCACTTGCCCCTATCATCATAGAATCCCTACAGTGAGGAAGCAGGCCATTTGGCCCATTGAGCCCATACTGACCCTCCGAAGAACATCCCACCCAGACCCACCCTCCTAACCTATCCCTGTAGCCCTGCATTTCTCATGGCTAATCTGAGCAGATTGATTTAAAATATCTACCTCTAGGCCAGGCAGCCCAGCTCCAAGTCTGACCTGCTCCTCAAGTTTCTCATGATTCATCTGAACAGGTTGATTAAAAATATCTACATCTTTAATGAATAAAGCCATTTTGAGTCCTGCCATTGACTCTCACAGATCCAGCCAAACACCAGAGCTTAGGAAAATCTGAGTGTGTAAACAGGCAGTCATTAGATTTTTCATTTTATTCTTTCACAGGATGCAGGTGTCACTGGCTCTGCCAGGATTTATTACCCATCCCTAATTGCCCTTGAGAAGGTGATGGTGAGCTGCCTTCCTGAATCCTTGCAGTCCATGCACCCACAATGCTGTTAGGGCGGGAGTTCCAGGATTCTGACCCAGCGACACTGAAGGAGCGGCGATATAATTCCAAGCCAGGACGATGTGCAACTCGGAGAGGAACCTGCAGGGTTCTATGCATCTGCTGCTCTTATCCTTCTGGGCAGCAGAAGTGGTCATGGATTTGGAAAGTGCTGCCAAAGGAGCCTTGGTGAGTTGTTGCAGATGGTACACACTGCTGCTACTGTGCATCAGGGGTGGAGGAAGTCAGTGTTTAAGGTGGGGGAATGGAGCACCAATCAAGTGGGCTGCTTTGGCCTGGGTGTGTGGGCAGTCTTGAGTATTGTTGGAGCTGTGCCCATCCAGGCAAGTGGAGAGTATTCTATCACACTCCTGACTTGTGCCTTGTAGATAGTGGACAGGCTCTGGAGAGTTAGTTAGAAGTTAAATATAGTCAAGTCAGACCATTAATCCTGAAATTAGACAGAATTATGCAATGATATAAGAAATGGGCCATCTGAAAAACCGAGCTTGCTTTTAAGCACCCTGATCCCCAAACCTGTTTGGATACAGTTCAGTAGTTCTAAAGGGGACAGGTACAAGTTTCACCCTAATTCGTTGAAGAACAATATTGAGTAATTTCTGGAGAATTACACCAGTTTACCAAGAGGGCGGCTATCAGTCTTCACTTGAAGTTACAGCAAAGCTGGACAACCCCTCCCCACAGCACATCAATCTTGTTTGACTGTGACTGAACAACTGTTTGACCTTGTGGGGGAGAATCTCCAGTTAATAGAGTGAAATGTCAGGCAGAGAAGTGGCAGGTTTTGTTTTGACTGGCCCAGCATTTATTGCCCCATTCCCAATATCCCAGAGGGCACTTAAAGGTTAACCATATTGTCTGGAGTCACATATAGGCCAGACTGCATAAGGACAGCAGGTTACCCCACCCCTCCACAAAACCAGAGAACCAGGTGAGTTTTTAACAATAACTCTCAGTTGGTATGTTGTCACCATGTGGCTAGTTTTCAATTCCAGATTATTACTGGATTCATATTTCACCTGCAGCCCTGGAGGGGTTTGAACCCAGATCCCCAGAACATTAGCCTGGCAATCTGGATTACTAGCCCAGTGACATTACAACCAGCTCCGCCTCAGATGACCCGCGACCGCTAGGTCGGTGCTGATGCCCAGGATAACTTTCTCTCCTGTGTAGCCCTAATCATTACAGATTGGTCCATATCAATCACGTGATATTGCAGACCAATCACATCCTTGATGAGTACAATCATTGCCCACTCATTAATTCCCAACATCAGCTATTCCATCCACTCTGCTCCCTTCCAAGTGACCCCTCCACTCAAATGCTGATCCTCTTCTGTATCTCTTTCAGCCCCCCGACCCCCCACCCCGATCTCTCTCCGTTAGTAGCCTCCCACAAAGAGCATCCTCTGGAACCTTCTTTCCCAGACCTTGCAGGTCCCTCTCCTTGCAGTGCTCCATTCCATCCCCGTCCCGTGTGATCTTACACTGAAGTCTCCACAATCCAAACCTGTTAGGGGGTCCAGCTTCAAAATGGACGGTCATTTCAACTGCACCCTCCCAACACACTGGCCAAAATTCCTCGGACATCAGTATCTGGGTGAAATTTCACAAGGATCTCCACTTA